AATGGCTTTTTGCATTGCATGTATATCAATCATACCCAAACCTCCTTGGCCTATGTCTCCTATCAGTGTGTTGCTTGCTACTCTATCGTGTCCTTGCCATATGAATGTATATATTTTAGTATTTATGAGTTTAATATCCCGTTGTAGAATTGGAATATGGTTGAAAATAAATAGTAATTTTGGAATAACAAAAGTTTTAATAATCTGAATGTTGCCAATAATTGTCAAACAACGTCTAGACCAGCATTGCAACACACTATTTAAGCACTTTATTGGTATATTTATGTTCATTTCATATGCTGCTCTAGCATCATAGGAAAAGAAGACACCCACAATTTTGATGGGAGACATAGGCCATTTCACCCCGAACGGTCTGTCTTGACGGAAGCGCCATCTGCCCAACCAAATTGCTTCAGTTTTGTCATAATTGACCTTTAACCCTGAAACCAGTGCAAATTTGTTAAAAAGAGAGAGAAGATTTTCGCCCGATTTTACATCTGCGACAAAGCAGAAAAATATTGAAAGTTAGGGAAAATGTTTTTATATCTCCAACACTGCCAACATTTTTTGAGATAGTAAATCATAAATCCATTGCTGGAGGAATTAAAAGCTACTCAGGGTCACTAAATGTCATTATAGAACATTATATTATAACATTATCAATATACCAGTGGATTTTATGACATCATTGCTGCAAATTATTTGCAATAATGTATCCCATTATTGAGCATCAATGAATACAATGTTGTTGTTTTTCGGTATCGAATAAAGAAGAATGACTATGACGTAACAAGTATCTAATTTCTGTTTCGTTCACTGGTAACTCCCCTCCAACCCCGGCCCCCCCCACTCAGGATCCATAGGGGGCCGCATGCGCGTTCCCATTTTCTCGGGAAAGGGGGTACTTTTTGACGATCTGTGTCGGGAACATTTTCCCCGAGAAAATCGTAGAAAAATGGGGTATTTTTTGCTTGTTTTCCCGAGATTCTCAAAATAGGGGGTGTATTTCAAAACACTTCCTGAGATATACAAAAAAGGGGGGTTTATTAGAATGAAAAGTTCCCTAGAAAGGAGTTCTAGACTGAAAAGTTCCCTAGATAGGGGGTGAAATTCATCGGGAAAAGCCCGTGAAAGGGGGGGTTAAATTTTCTTCTTTTCCCTAGATAGGGGGGGGGGGTCCAAAAAAAATGAGGGAACAAGCATAGCCCCCCCCCATAAATATAGGGAGTGGGGGGCCTCCAACCAATAATGAACTCAAGCAAACTGTGCTTTTTGCCTATTATTGTTTATGTTTAGTGACGGGAATGTATTAAATATAATCTCTCCAGTTTTAATGGTATTAATGATAGCCCATGCAATTAGCCGTGGTTTCGCGTCGTTTCGGCTCTGGATAGGTCTTAGGCTTCATCTGTCAGTGTACACAGCAACGTCGGTGGACAGGTCACTCCCGGCTACCAAAGTGATAGGTCATTACATTGCTCGGCGTGGAAAGCCAACGCCGGTTGTCTGCTTAGTTTTACTCGACGGTAGCGCTCACACGTGTTCAAAGTAAGACTGAATATCGTCATTTACTGGAAATAACTACAAATATTACCTGAAAACAGCCAAATTTCTGGATAAACCAACCGCACGTACTCCAGCACGCAACAACGCCATTTTATTACAGGGAGGTGATCGAGGTCGAAGTTAATAGGTGCGCCCTCACTAAACATAATTAGAATATCTACCGTTTTTAGTTTTTAAGGAGAAAAAAGCACATTTGTGCTAGCCCATTGTTCAAGCATAATACATGTTTGTGATATAACTGAATCAGTTATTATTACAGATTTAAAAATTGTGGTGACTAATTATGTTTCATTGCTGCGAACGTTTTTTTTTTTTTTTTTTTTTTTTTAAATATTTTTGTGCCAGGCGACAGTTCTGGACATTGAATGTCACCGTTGTCTCTCCTGACTTTTTTTTTTGTATGTGCAAATTGCAAGTGCTAGTGCTGACACATGGTGTCATTTTGCCACATAAGTCATAATCATGTTTGGGACTACATGACAGGGATGTGTGACCATCTCTCTGTCAAATGGCAATTTTACTGCACTATCCTGGCGTCAACCAGGCCCGGTCGAACACAAGCACCTGCGGACCTTAACAAAGGTTCCCCCAAAGTCGCATTCGTTAGTGAATGAATCTCGGCCAGTGGAATTGGCCTTCCCATTGAGTCTGTGGCCCACTCATCCAGGGTACGGGTTGACCCTTTGATGTTCAGCCTAAGGTAGGATTTGAACTTGAGTCTATCGATCATGAGTCTGGAGCGACAACCACTATGGTTCCAGTGACCGGTCTTTTGTTCTTTTTGTTCTTATGAAGTATTACCGCTCACCTAGAGTGCTCCAAAGCCAGTTGAAAACTGGAACGAAAAAGATCGGGGTTAACACAGCGGCGCATACCTGGATACTTTCTGTGCTTTAACAATGGGAGTACCCCTCTTCCAGAGTAATACCTGAGGTACATTACTTTCATTTTTTATGTAATGTACATCTGGGGGATAACTGGTACAGGTTACAGGAAATAAAAAAGTCATTTTACGTTTTTACAAGAAATAAAATGAAAGTTCCATGTACAGTAAAAAGTAAGTTTTTACACTTTACAGATAAAGCAAATTCCTAATTATATTTTACATTTTTATAATATATTTGATAATTTGTGTTTACAAATCAAAATTGGAAATTGCTAAGAATTACGATTACGAATTAAGATCTTTGTACAAATTACGGGTGAATAAAATAGCTGATTGCATTTTACACCTTGCCCATGTCTACGAACTTACGTTTTTTTATTTATTTAAATTACATTATTACGAGAATAAAAACAATTGACCGACCCTCTAGTAGTTAATTACGCCGGTGTGTATCGACCTAGTATGTGATTTACATGAAGTAAAAACTTGATTGGTTCTGACATTTATGAACAGAATCAGTGCATGAATGACTGAGATCGGTTCCGGCTGACATTCGATCATCTTGAATCGGACCATGAAGCAAATGCATGTACATATGTCCGATATAATGTCTAAAATATGTGTAAAGTGTGAACTTGATCGGCCCACGCATGCGTGAAATATAGCTGGATGGACGGACGCAGTGCACATGCACGCACACACGTACGCACGAAGGTCAATCCATAAGTATCTATGTTCGGACTTCGTCCGAACGAGGACTAATCGTAGTGAGTTATAGCGAGTGAAATGAGGTATATGTATATTAATAAATAGGACGAATTAGTAGGTTTCTTTACGCCGGCCACGTGATTGTCAGGGCGAGTAGCCAATCAGCGACAGCGTCATAGCTGGTGGTTTCCAGTATATTGAGAGACAATCCGTAAGATTACTGATCATACATCCCACTGCAAACTGTAAAGCAGCTGGCCCAGAAGTGTCCCTGTTGTTTGCTACAATATATGATAGAAAGTAGATAATTACTTCAAATTAAATCGAAATAGCCAGAATATAAGTTGTTTCTGCATACGCCCTCCGAAACAACCGCTGTCCTTGGTGTGAGCTGACTGTGCATATGTTGGAGAAGATGGACACAAATAGATAAAAACAAAAGATATTCATTTTACGCCGAATGAAGGCATACCATTATCAGATGTTCGTGTTTTTATTTCCTCTATTTTAACCCTATTATCTCAGAGCGTCATGTTTTCTGCTTCTTCGTTAAAGTTGTCATAGTGACTGTTTGGTCTAGATATGGTTCATAATTTAAAATACGTTTACTATTTTTTTATTCAGATGTCCAGTCAAAGAGAACAAATGAGAAAAGCTTCGCCACAAGAGGGCGCAATTTGAAGAAAATGTTCTCGTCAAATAATTGAAGTACCGTGGAGTACTTATTTTACACTTTAAGTTTAATTCTGACTTTATCACTAAAATATGTTTTTCTGAATGGTTCGCATGAAATCCATAAAAATTCAGGAAGGAAATTAAAGGAAAGTCAAGCCAAACAACATCATGCACCCTAAAGAAAGAGTTCCACAAATGTAGGAGAATGCAATTTACAGTTTTTTATATCACTTTTCATTCTCTAGATATACAACTTTTCATCAGTATTATGTATTCCGCCATCCTAATTCTCCGAACATCTAGAATTCAATGACCACAAAACAAACGATTGACAAACAATACACAACTTACTAAACAATTGACTAGTAAACTACCAGACGTGCTTAAATCAGTGAGATAAATATATATGAAAATTTCAAGAAGATTCCCGCGCGTGCGCAGGTGACGACCCTCCCGCTTTAAGTTCAAGGTGTTATGAACGTACAATATATGTAGAAAATTATTATATCCTGTTCATGACAAAGAGCGCCCTCTCTTTTTACTCTTCTAAGTTGGCTGTCGTATCATTGTATTGTCCAATATAAATTAATTTCATAAGTTGTTGACTTCTTTATACATGTATAATAACATTTGAGCAGTATTAAAGTGCGGGGCTGTTTATTGAATTAATTTACAGTTTATTTTCTTACTGGATAAAGATAGCAATAGGAAACAATAGACAGATTATTTGTTCAAACAACAAGAATATTAGTATCCAAAAATTTCACGGCCGAATCCCTGGGACTGATGACCCCTTGGTTTATAATATAAGTGATATAACATATATCCTACAGTGGCGGAGTATATGGTGACAATGAGGGCCATGTATGAACATAACATGCTGAACATAAGATAGACAAAAACAAATGTTAGCACCAAAACTTTGTTTTTAAATACGGCATAACAGCTTTATTATCCACGCCCGTATGTGTAGGGTCGCATGGGTCCTTTACAGCGATATTAATTTATTTCTAATTTTATACTACATATTTTTGTTTGAGTCTATATATATATTACAAACACATGCAATATCAATGAGAACATAAGTTGTTGTGGCGGGATTATTATATTTAAAAAATTACTATTTTCATATGGCTTTGGTGAGGCCCGGATAAACCAAGGCGTTGGCAATATCAATTTGTTTATTTTAATGTTTAAAGAAAGGTGTAATAACATTAATATTCAGGAATGGCACACTGCTGTAAATAACTCCCCTAAACTTGATATGTATGCTAAATTTAAACAGCTTTTTGGCAAGGAAAAGTACTTAAACTGTATTGATAAACCATATTTTCGAACAGCTTTGTGTAGGTTATGAATGTCAATACATCAATTAAGAATTGAAGCAGATAGGCGATTAAAAAATGAGAGATCAGAGCGTATTTGTATTTTTTGTACTACAAACCAGGTTGAAGATGAATACCACTTTTGTTTAATTTGCCCTTTTTACAGTGATCTGAGGAGAAAATACATCTCCGAATTAATGATTTCATTTCCAACTGTTGATACATTTATTTCTTTAATGTCCTCATCCAGTGTTACCATTATACGCGATCTTTCAAATTTATTTTCTATGCTATGCAAAGATGAGAATTGTGATACGAGTTTTCTTGATTAGCCCTCATATGTGTAAATATATACTTTATATCTGATATGTACTTAAAGGCCGGTGGCCTATGTACTTGAATAAACGTATTATTATTATTATTACTATAAGTTATTGTTTGGTTCTGTATGTTAATGATCCCATTTGACTGATTTATCGTTACATGAAAACGCTGTTCAACACATCTAAGTTTTTTTTTTAAATTTATGATAAAGTGAGTGATTATGGACAATGTGTCAATATCGATATACTGTCCATGATATGTCAATTCGATGTTAACTAATTGATTGACTGACTACATGGCTTGATTGGCTGCTGGCCAAATGCTTTATTGATTGATTATTATCGTTAACAGTCAGCCAGATTAAGTGATCTATTACATAAAATGGACTGACTGATGGATGACAGAGATCCCACCAGAGTAAATCACCAATAGTGTCACAAATAGATTAGAACTGAATGCTGACGTTAACGATGTAAAATCAGGGCTTATTCTTGTCTGTGTATCCCTGTGAGTCTACAGGTCTTTATGAGTTGAGGTCGAGCTTGCATATCTGTAATTTTATTATTATTTCAGACCACTGAACGAGTCTGGGTATTAAATAATTCATGACACATTGATTGATTGTTCTACGAAATGAAGATTGATTGATTGGTAATTACCTGACGCCAACATGATGGATTGCTTGAATGGAATTATTGTCTAACTGATGGGATTGATTAAACGGAATTCATGAATGTGTGCCAGGCAGCTGAGGGGTGCGCCCCAAATAATTTCACCATAATGATATTATTTAGTCCGTCATTGTTGACACAACACGGAATTATCACGTCATCAATCAATTTATAGTTATGTAAAAATAGAGTTGTTATACAGTTCATGAAGGATACTAGTAAATCCAAACAAGTTCTATATATGCACGCCCACTAGCGACGTAATGCATGCGTGGATTTAGGGGGCGCCCCCTTTAGCTCGCAAAAAAATGACAAATCAATTGACAAACCCAGCCCATCTTGGGCCACGTCAATAGGAGCTCGCCCCCTCCCCCTTACCGAATTTCTGGATATGCCAGTGTAATGTAAGTTATGTCGTTTAAATGTATAGAAAATCTCTAACAAAGTATTATCCCTAAAACCATTTTAGGTGAAACATTTTATCTTCATCCATAGAGGGCGTGATTATAATGAGCAGTGTCTGT